CAGAAGCACTTTTGAAAACCTCTTGGGTGCATCTACACATGCATTCAAGCATGACTCAATTTAACACTCATTAAACTAATGCACATTAAACAATTTTTGGTAGGTGTCTACACATGCAGGGACTTGGCACTAAAGTTAGTGCACTTGGCACCCTGCAGCCCTGCCATGTGCCCCTTAGTGGCTGGGCAGTGGTTAGTGCCAGGTTGCGTCTACACATGCATTAATGCACTTTAACTAATCATGCCAAAATTTGATACCTGCGTTTGCAGGTATCAAGTTTAGGCACGATTAGCCTATTTTTGCCATTTTTAATGCGCATTAAGGGCTTGCACGTGTAGACATGTGCATGCAATATGCATTAAATTGGGCTAATGCACATGAATGTGTCTCATGTAGACATGCCCCTCAAATATAGAACTACTGCATGGTGCAAAGTGACCCTGGACTCTCCTAAAGGAACAGGTGCATCTCTTTCTTTCACAGGAAATCATCAGCCATCAGTAAAGAACTTCTAGACTACCAGAGGGTTGTGAAGAATCAATATAATAGTCACAGCAGTTTCAGCTGATACTGATTCCAAAGAGCTGTGCAATACCAAGATGTGAATCCATTATTCTCATCAATTTTCAGTATTTTACTTAAGGTTTTAAGACAAATGAATTCTTACCAAGTCCCTTTTTTGGAGCATACTGTTTTGCATTGCATCCCTTTTCCCAGGAAAGGCCCATTAATTCACAGGCCTGGGCCGGAGGCTGGTAATGACACCTAAACTCAGTTTCTGTAGGTTTTGGGATTAAGATTTTCAAGTCAGAATGAGCAGAGGTAGCTGAACCTGGAGAAATTAAAAAGGTATATGACAGGAAGTATCACAGCCCAAAAAAGGACCTTCTTTTCCACAGAACAGGAAGATTTATATTTGGCTGTACATACCAACAAAATATTTGGTTAATAAGTATTTGCCAAAATGTTTTTTATATAAAATATGACTTTTAATTAAACATTTTTTTCACAAGGTGTCTACTTCCATAGGGAAAAAAAAACTGAACTCAGTGCCTGAAAATTGAAACATTTTCCATTTTTATCTGAGTTAAAATATATGATTCTGAAATGTACCTCCTGGGATTTGTGGTTTGGGTGCTTCAACTCTTTTCCATAGGATAACATTTTGCATGTTTCATTTTACCTCGTCATCAACAACGGAGGCCATGCTGCAATTTGGGAGTCTGGCCTCAAGAGGAAAATAGGAGCATGCAACACCTGAATAACATCCCATGTGAGGAGGAACTGAGGCAGCATGTCAGAATTTTAATATTTTGTATTTAAGCTGAAATGTTTCAGTTTTGATTTCTTACCAAAACCTAAAGATTTTTTCATGGAAAATTTTGACAGAAAGCTTTTTTTTTTTTTTTTTTTTTTTGGGGGGGGGGGGGGGTTCCCCATTAAAAGTTCAGGTAGTACAAAAAGGCATTTCCTGAAAGCTCTACAAATCAGTAATAATGACTCCTCACTGCTGATAGAGAGACATTGTGGATATGGTGGTAAAATATAGCAGATGGGCACTACAATCAGGCTGTCCGCGGGCACTTGACTTTCAAGAAGATGTGTTAGGGCTTGACCCAAAAGCCATCAATCTAAAAAGAAGACTTCCCATTAATTGCAGCTGGCCCTTCAAAAAGAGACATTGTCCAGGCAAGTGGCCAAATGCCTGGCAAAATGCCATTGTCCTTAGCAGTGGCAAAATGAATGAAACTCAGCCGGCTGTGTTGGATAATACAGAGACAGGCCTGTACTTTTACCCATAATCTCTTGGCACACTGGGAGTCTTTGAGAGGGTATGAGATATGCTGGAAAACACCAGAAGCACTATGCATGGGGGTCGGGGAATGGAGGAATTGAGGAGAGAGGAGTTAGTCGGGTTGAGCATGGAAGATTACTTAGGCTGAAGGAGGAGCCTCGACACATGGCCATCCCTCTGATCCAGTAGTGAGAGAGAGCATATCCTGCATTTAAGTAGGATGCTACAAGAATCCTGGATATGTCTGAGCAGCACCATACCTAGACTTCTGGCGGTCCCGGGCAAACTTTTAGTATCAGGCCCCCCTTCACCAGCGATAATGATAATAATAATAATAATAATACAAATTACCATTTTCAGGCCCCCTTTCTGTCTGGGCCCCAGACAGCCACATGGATCACCCACGCCTGTGTCTGGCCCTGCCTCTCAGCTTCACATTGCAATAGGACCCTAAATGGCCATTTCAAAAGGAGAGAGCGAAATCAATGCCCTTACCCTGTGGTAATCCTAAATAATTTGTATCGTAAGAAGAGATGGACTTTGATCCGCTTGCTTCCCTGATCTCTTGTTTAGAAAAAGGCTGTGCCCAGGGTGGAAGACTTTTGGAGGGCTTTACTTTTTCTCCTCGAGGCAGCTTCCAATCCAGGAAATCCTATCAACACACACAGGGGGACTTTGTATATCTGTACATCCACATTGAGAGCATCCTATCTACTGTAAATAAGGTCACATGCAGTCAAGTTCTACAGAGAAAGATGCATATGATATCAACCACAACAGTATCAACCAGATGAGGAGTTTCAAGCAGTAACCCTAGATAGCTGTCAATTTTGAAAAGGAATGGATAAACTTGAAAAAAAAATCTAAACCTTTAAAAAGTATTTAAAGTATAGTATTAATCCATGTTGGGGAAGCACTAACAAATTAGCAAACAAAGCTGGACTAAGATATTGGTTAGTGGGCATTCTGTTTGTTGATACTCTAGTTTCCCTTTTAAATGTTCTGTTCTCTTGTTCATTCTCCTGTTTTATAAATTGTTCTTTCCTCTTATTGTGCACTGTCCTGCAGATTTGTTGTGAAGGGTGGCATATAAATCATATAAAATAAATACATATAAGAATTTCAAGTACTTCACCAAGTCCCAGCTATATTGGGTGGCTGTTTTGTTTTCATATTTGTTTTTTAATTTTATGATTAGCTTTTTCTGTTTTTTTTAAGTTGGTTCCTTTTTTTTTTGCAGCTGCCTCAATAGAGCTATAGAGGCATGTAGTAAAAAATAAGTCCTGCCAAACTGATCCCATTCTGTGTGTGCTCAGACCCAGAACAGAGGCAGTGAGAATGCTCCAAGGAAGACCCTTCTACCGCTCTTAAGATCTGTTTTCTTGAAAACACTGGCAGCAGGGACCATCCCTGGACTGTCCTCATGGTCACAGTTCCAGATTTGGAGCGCACAGAGCAAGACTGGGTAAGTGAGGCTCTTTTGCCGGGGACCATCTTAAGAGCACCATAGAAGTGGTGTAGATGCCCAAAAATACACAATCAACTGCAGGGTAAATTGACAGAAAATGGAAAGCAAATGAGGTACAGTGGCAAGGCAGTTAAGGTATCTCACCATGGCTCTAGTCTAGCAGCACAAGTTGGAGCCCTGCTCTGGGCACGTGTTAAAGGTCACCCCTAAGTTGATGCAGCTGCAAATGGGTACAAGTCATTTAGACTGGGGGAAGTCTACTGAAGCCAACTGCACATTAATCCCTTGTGTGCAGTTGACTTCAGAAACTGGTGTGCTTGAACTACTCTAGCTCAATGAACTGTTAATCTCCGGTGGACCTTTGACCATGCCCGTGAACACTGTGGTTATCAAAGCAGGTCAGGCAGGTTGATTGCATATGGCAGAATGAGAATATCCTTGCATCAGTATTGGAGATGCAAGCTATCCTCCAAGACAACAACAGCCTAAGATAATACTTATAGCACAAACCTAACCTTGTTCTGTTACACTCAAAATATTGGGGACTGATGATGGTTTCTTCAATGCCAAATCCCATGGGTGAAATTATCATATGCTTTTTAAACTATCTTGTTGCTAAGTGCTCTTACTGATATCTCATTCAGTGATGTGCTCCAAAACTACAGCACCAAAAACTTTGTAACAAAAACTAAGGCTTACTTCACTAGGCTGAGGGTTGTGTCTCCTTGCTCCCAATAAAGTTCCAGTACTCATAGGTTCTACTTTTGAATATGGTTTCCACAAGACATCTTCTCTGTAAGTACCATAGTCCATAGTTTTGCTATTTAGGTATGGATTTACATGTCCTTTTGCTGAGGTGGGACTGTGAGAAATGAATTACAATTAATAGTAATAAACAGGGTCATGGGATATAATGGCAATGACTATCATTTTCTATTCTAAGAACTGAAAATATTGGTGTAAAATCAAACATTGGTATGCATTCAACAGGCTACATTTGTTTATAGCATGGCACCCATCATCATTCATGGATATGAACAGAGGTTTTTTATCTTTCACAACAAAACATAAGTAACATAAGTGTTTGCATTAATTTAGCTCTATTGCCTTACCATATTGCATCTGTTTCTCTTGGTGTGTTGTATGTATGTTGGTGTTTCGCTGTAATTTCATAAGGATGCCACATACTTTTGTCCCCTAAAGATATGATGCAGTGGTTATAAAGGTGAAAAACTGAAGAATGTTCCCAAACTCAAACTTTGTGACTATTCAAATAAATCATTTAATCAAGAGAAACTATGGATAAGCAGTTTCACAAGGTCATACACACAAAATGATGACAGAGCATTTCTGGCTGCAGAGAACTTCCCGTCAGATGGATGAATCAGCTGCAGACAACCACAGCATCTGTGCTCCTCACTTGATTTTGTATTAGCATGTCGTACTAATGTTAGCATCAGCTGCCTTTCTAAGCATCCTTATTGTTTGGAGTAGGTGACAGAAGCAGGGGCTGAGTCTATGCTGGCAGAAATAGGTAAACCCTTTACTTAGACTGTACATTTTTTCAGGCAGGAACCACCATTATACAGACTTGTACATTACCCAACACAAAGGGGTTAGGGCCTCTCTGTGCTAACATAGGAAACTGTTAATACTAACATGCTCAGTACAAGGGATGATGGCTATACTATACTACAGACTACTATACTACAGCTCCCCACTTCAGTGTAGAAGTGCAGGTCCCATCTTTGAAGGCTACACCCAGAAATTTGAATCTGAAGTCCCTCATGCTAAGGAAGGCGTGTAACCTAGGTCTGCCACTTCCTGCAGGGGCTATAATGCAAAAGGTTAGCACCACCATCATTCAGTGTTTCTGAAGGAAAGTGATCCTGACTGCTGAAGAGAGTACTGGCAGTGTGTGTTAGGTATGCTCAGAGCACACCTACTGGGACGCATGTCTTATGGGGACAGGCTGACGGAACTGGGTTTATTTAATCTAAAGAAGAGAAGACTGAGGGGGATTTAACAGCAACTTTCAACTACCTGAAGGGTGGTTACAAAGAGGATGGAGCTAGACTGTTCTCAGTGGTGGCAGATGACTGAACAAGGAGCAATGGTCTCAAGTTGCAGCAAGGGAAGTTTAGACTAGATATTAGGAAGAATTTCCTCACTAGGAGGGTAGTAAAACACTGGAACGGGTTACCCAGAGCGGTTGTGGACCCTCCATCCTTGCAGGGTTTTGAGACCCTGCTAGACAAAGCCTTGGCTGGGATGATCTAGTTGGGGCTGGTCCTGCTCTGAGCAGGGGGATGGACTAGATGACCTCCTGAGGTCCCTGATACACTGTGACTCTGTTACACTGACCTGCAGGGAGCTGATGTGAGGCACGGCAGCACAGAGTGGGGTGGCTACAGCGGTACTAAGATGAATTTAGGGGGGCTATAGCCCCAAGGCCCACAAAGTGCTGCACAAAGGTGCGGTGCAGTGCTCCTGGCCCAACCAGCCCAGCCCAACCACCCCCTTCCTCCCTCCAGACACAGCACCACCCAGCCCCACCCCTCTCCCCCAAGCGCAGCGCTGCTCTCCTGGCCCAACCCCAGCCCTGCCCGCCCCTCCCCTCAGCCCCATTGGTGGAGGGGCCCCACTTCCAGCTCCAGGGAAGCAAATGTGAAAGCCACAGTTTTAAACTTAGTGCCAAAGATGGGCTTCAAGTTTAAAAGTGCGGCTTTCACTTCCCTGCTGATGAGGATCCCAGGGTTAGGGCCCCAGATTGGTAGGGGCCCTTGGGCTCATTCCCAGCAGGCCCATGCATTAATCCACCTATGCCAACAAAGGACAAAAAACAAATCAGAACTTGATTCTCCAAGGGATTTCATGCAGACAACAGTGGCAAAATTCGCTCTGGCAAAAGAAGAGGCAGAAGTCCTCAACTGCTGGCCTCCAGATGCAAATATTGAACAGAAGCTAGTGAGCGGGACAGCGCCCTGCGGGGTGACTGCTCTTCGAGGAATGCACTGAGGTCCAGCTGCACTGCTGAGAATGCTTGTGAAAAGGGGGGCTCTGTTTCTAATGGTGAGTGGTGGGTGAGTGGTGCCTACAAGGCCAGTGTTGCCAAGTGTTCAGGTGAAAGGAGGCAGGTGGGTGGAAGAAACCAGCCTGGTACCTGGGTGGGGATGAGCACTGGGCACAGGGGGCATTTCGGAGGGGCAGACCCCTGCCCACAGCCAGGCCCAGCCCTAACCCTGCAGCAAGCATCTGTCAATGGCTCCAAGCCTTCCCTTTTCCTCTGCATCCCTGCTGCCCAATTCCCCTCACCAGCCCTTTCGCCCCTGGCCCTATCCTTCCTCTGCTCCAGGCCCCTTTGTCCCCTGACCCCGATCTGCCCTTGCCCCACTGGCCTCACACTCCCAGAGTGGCCAGGCTGCACTGGTGTTGGGGGGACTTTCATCATTGCTCTGTGCATGCACAGCTGGCTGGCGCATGCGCAGTAGGGCTCTCTGCCAGCAGCCTCACCTGGTGGTGTGGGGGCAGTGCTGGGCCTGGTGCAGGGCTCCGTAGTGGTGGCTCCATGGATTGGGGGTAGTGGCAACCTCAACCGCTGCCATGCAGCAGTGCGGGGGCGAGGGCGGAGGAAGCAGAAGGGGGCGGTGCCTCCCCCCTGTGGGGGCCCCAGCGGTGGCTCCAGCCTGTCCAGCTGCACCCCGGGGGCTGCTGCTGCCGCTGGTGCTGGGACTGGCACAGAGATGCTGCCTGGGTGCCCCGGTGACCAGTTCCGCATTGTGACCTGAGTGGGGAGTACCATGGGGAGAGCTCTGTGGCAACAGGGGGAGTTCCATGGCAACAGAGTCAGGGGGGAAGCTCCATAGCAATGGAGGGGCTGCATGGCAACAGGGACCCTGCCCCCAAGTGGGTGCTGGGGTGGAGCAGATCCTGTCACTGCTGCCTGCTCCTCCGAGGGCTCTGACGGGGTCCCTGGGGCATCAGCCAGGACTTCCTGCCTAGGCTGGTAGGAGTCAGGCTGCAGTGCACTTCCTCAGACCCACCATCCCCCTTTCGTGGCAAGAAGGCTGTCTCGTCGTCCCTGAGGAGAGGTCACCCCCTGTAGGTCCTGCTTCATGGGGTGGTGCGTTGATGGACTTATGCATGTGCAGTGCAGCCACTGCCCAGAGCAACACAGGAGCCACCAGGGGAGTTGGAAGCAACACGGAAATGCAGTAACAAGGGGCCTGAAAGCGTTCTGGGATCTGGTCTTTTCCAGCAGGGCAGAGGTTAGAAGCTCAGCTAAGGAGAAGCAGCCCAGCCTTAAAGAATTTCAGCTAATTTAGGCTAACAGGCTCCTGCAGAGCAGATTTCAAGATTTGTTTCCCCCTGGTAGGAGCCCTGCTGGGAAAGCCATTCAGGAAGATCAAATGGAGAGAAAGTGGCTGTTTCCTGCTCCATGTCAAAGGAAATGTGGAAAGGGTGGAAAATGCTTTGCTGGCCTCACTGGTTGCTGACTACATTGGTGTCAGCAGTGTCTCCTTACAGATTCTGTCAGTCTGTCAGTATGTTTCTTACAGATTTGCTGAACATGTTTCTGAAAGTTTCAAGCCAACCTAGTGTGCCTCCAGCACTTCAAGTTGCCTCTAGTGACCCATTGAGCAAACAGACGAGTCTAATTAGTTTTCAGCTGTTCTTCTAAATTGCCCGTCTGCCTGAAGTCCCTGCCTTGAGCTGATGTGAAAGGCCACAGCCTGCTCCCTGTGGCTCCTGGGTGTTATCACACCTGCAAGCTCTCTGATGGCTTGGATTGTGCGGGGACAGCTGTAATGTCTGGAAAATATTTCAGAACTAGAAACAGGCAAGTTCTGCAGTCACCAGTCATCTGTACATCACTCACCATAGAGGCAGAGAATCATAGAAAATGAGGGTTGGAAGGGACCTCAGGTCATCTAGTCTGCCCTCCCTGCTCAAAGCAGGACCAGTCCCAACTAGATCATTCCAGCCAGGACTTTGTTGAGCTGGGCCTTAAAAAACCTCCAAGTAAATAACCTGTTCCAGTGCTTCACCACCCTCCTAGTGAGAAACTTTTTCCTGATATCCAACCTCAACTTCCTGTGCTGCAACTTGAGGGTGTTGCTCCTTTTTCTGTCATCTGCCACCGCTGCAGTTTACAACTAACTCTTGAGCATGGCACAGACTTCCAAGGTCCCAAGGATGTCCTAGTGTTTTCCTGTAAAGAAAATCCCTCATGCGTTACTCTATTGGAAAGAAGATTGTGCAGTTAATCATTTGAAGTTTGTGTTACCATTTTGCTTCTAGTAGACATTTTTGTTCTTTGAATCATAAAACAGCACTAGGTTTAATCACCAGAAGTATCTACTTAGAAGTCACTAGATCAGGGCTGGGCAAAATATGGCCTGCGGGCCTCATCCAGCCTGCTAGGCAATTCTATCTGGCTCACAGGGCTCCTCCATAAGCTCTCTGTAAGCCCTGGCCCAGGGAATTCAGGTGAGGGCCCCACTGGGCCAGGGCCTCCTGTTGGGGAAAGGGGCAGGAGCACAGGGAGCCATACACTTAGGGGCTAGTTCAGGCTGGCCCTGCATGCTGCCATCACATGGCCAGGGACTGGGGTGGGGGTGTGGGAGCTGCAGCTATGGGGCCAGGCTGGGCTGGCTCTGCACCCTGCCACCACGTGTGGCCAGGGACTTGAACAGGTCCGCTACTGGGAAGGTGGTGCTGGTCCCACGCACTGCTGCCACCTGCCGCCAGGGACTGGGGTTGGAGCACAGGAAGCTGCGCCCCTCTCTGCCACAACATGCAGATCCAGGGACTCACATACTCCAGGGACTCCAAGGACCACCCCCCACACACACACCCCCATACCCTCCCACCCCCGCCATATCCCCAGACACACCCACACCACACCACACATACCCCACCACATACACACACCCACTCCCCAACCACACGCCCCTACATACAAGAGTAAGACTGTAGTTTGAGCTATTATGCACTTGCCCCCTACATACACTACACAAACACACATAAATCAGGACAAAAATATTCTTTTTAATAAAATTAAAATAAGTTATAGTAGAAGTTCGATTTTTTTAGTATGGGACTTCTGGTCCCCAAGATGGCAAGCAGGGGTCAAGGCTACTCTTTGGCCCTTGACAGCTCACCAAAACGTAAGCGGTCCTCCAGCCAAAGTAATTGCCCACTCCTGCACCAGATGCACTGGTCACAACAAATATATACTAGCGTTAGATAATATTCACTATCTGAGGCAATGCAGTGTGGGAAAGACAGTAGAAACTGTTGTCCAAATGGACCTCTGCTGATCAGTATTCAGAATGTGCCATTTCACTGTGCTCATATCAGCCGAGATTCTTTTACTGCAACATTCCTAAAAATCTGAAAATAAACCAAAGCTTGTGTAAATAAAATTCCTTTTTATTCTTTTGCTTCATTTTTCTAAACTATTTGGTATTTTTTCTGTTGCAGCATTTTCCTACAGATCCTAAAATTTCAAAAATGCTATAGCATTTATGAGTGTGATTAATATAGAATATCGCAGTATAGTTCTGATGTAGCTAGCTCAAGTACTACTAGCATAGTGTAGTAGCAAGGTGCTACTAGCTACTTGAACATAGTCAGCTTTTCAGACAAGTTTTGCCCTCTGTGCTACGGTAGCTACATTGCTATTAGTAGGGCCCTACTTAAATTGCAGCAAAAAAAGGGTTTTTCAGAGCCCACTCATGGCGAGCACAGATGATTTTGTGGGCATTTGTAATAGCCCTGCCCCTCGGCAGTGATTGGTGGAGAGGCTCTGCCCGGAGCTGATTGACTGAAAGGCCCTCGGTGAAAGAGAGGCCACCATCTTGACTGATGGCTGTCCTTTGTTTCATAGTAGTTAGGGGTCAGAAGGGACCTAAATAGATCATCTAGTCTGACCCCCCGCCACTGGCCAGAGCACATGCTGGGATCACACGACCCCAGACAGGTATTCATCCAACCTCTTTTTGAATTTACCCAAGGTAGGAGTGAGGACCGCTTCCCTGGGAAGTTGATTCCAGATCCTAGCCGCCCTAACAGTGAAACAGTACCTCCTAATCTCTAACCTGAACCTATTCTCCAGCAGCTTCTGGCCACTGTTCCTCGTCACCCCAGGTGCTGCTGGGGGGAATAGGGCCCTTCCTATTTGCTGCTGATCTCCCCTAATGAGTTTGCCCCACAAATTCCTTCAGGTCCAAGTTAGGCTCTCAGCCACCTCCTCACTCATCACCTCCCCATCCTGTGTCAGGGCCCAAGCTCGATTCACCATCACGGGAAGAATTTGCATCTCGAGAGCACTGGGGCACTTGAGCTGAAAGTCACAGATGCTGCACGCTCACCGCCCCTTCGTTAACGTGTGCGGAAATCAAGAAAGAACCAACATCAAAAGACTGTTAGGGTGTTCAGAGGGCATGGGAAGAATATGTTCTTCTTTTCAAGCTTCCCTTAAAGCTCAAATGTGGTGCAAAAAGATTCTGTGCAATCTTTTATCGCTGCACTGAACAAGGAGGCACCTTGGTTCCTCTGCGTGTCTGTTGCTGTCTCCATTTCAATCTGGCTACAGGCCTGCTTTAAATGAATGACCTCACTGCCAGGTTGAAAGGAAAGGAAATTAGCAAGGAGGTTAGATCCCAAATGTGTGGGAAATAATGGCTTGCAAAGTCTGCTATTAATAGGAATGCTTTCATTTCATTGAACACTGCCTTTTTTTTAACCGAGCTGTTTGCAACCCCCAGCATTGACTCAATATAGGGAGAACCAGAACGGGAAACGGATCTCTAGTAAAACTAAGCGATCATCCTTGTCTCGCCTGAGTGAAATGCATGAATGGGACAAACAGCACCAACCCAGACAAATGAGTTACATAAAAAGGACCCTGTGAGGTTTAGGAATCTAAAGTGTCTAATCTAACCGAATAACAAGATGCTATTACTCATCATTTTTAACCAAACTATATGGTTAAAATATATGGTTATATACCCCTCAGCATTGATTGGTGGAGAGGCCCCAGTGCAGGGAAGATGAAGGAAAAGGGAGCAGATGACATCGTGTCTGCTGCCTTTTGTGCCACTCCACCAGGTAGTGCCTTCCCCTTGCAGCAGCAAGGACCGCTGGCTCTCAGTGGAGGGCCAGTCTTTTATTTTTATTACGTTTTTTTGTTGTTGATTTTGCGGTTTCTACAAAATCTGCAAAACTGCAATTAAGTAGGCCCCTAGCTATTAGGATCTGAGCTAATTAATTTAAAGCTAATGTGAGCTTACAGAATGCTGCCATTCATACAAGCTGTTTTCATAGTATATTGTGCATTTTCATTCCTGGAGGTATTAAGAGAGATGACACTATCCATGGAAATAAATATCAACCCTCTTTTCTTTTGTCATGTTCTCATGTCCAAAGATGTGTTGGATACTTATTTTGACACACAGAATATTTTAATCACTAGCAAGGTTGCTTCCAACAGATTTTGCATCAGGCTCTTATGTTATAAACATATGGTTTCTCTTCATCTCCATTTTAAGGTACAGGCTGCAAGTTGATACCACCTAAATAACATTCTGATTTGACTTTTGATATTAAAATAATTTCACCATGAGAAAAATAGTGGTCACCAAAATAACTGCTTGCAGCTGCAGCTACTGAGAATGGAGCAAGTGTCCTGTATGCTCTCATTTTCTACTAATGACCATCAACCTGGTAATCTTTAATACTTCAGCTGTGTGGGGGAGATGTGGCCATTAAAGGTATTCTCTTAAGGATTTTACTTCACATTTCATTGCCCCAAGAGACTAGATGAGAAAACAGAAAGTAACTCTTCAGTTTCAGTCACATAGTTCAAATAACATTCTTGCTAACCACCGTTTCTTCAATAACAAGCACAGTATGCACTTTGTTGTGAGAAACACAAGTTCAAATGGATTGCATAGATTGGAACGGCATGTGATCATCTTCCTTTTCGTTTGAGCATATTCAAAACTTCTGCATCGGTTTCTTTCTACTTGAACTGAAGGTAAAAAAAAAAAAAAAAAAAAAAAAAAAACTTCTTAAGACACACTTGACGGGGCAACTCAAAATGCAAGTGGCCTGTTTGTTTTGTATAGTGAACACGGAAGTTTTATTTTGTAGTAAGACCGAATGGGGATAGACAAGATTTAGTGCAGGTTTTTAGATAAAGTTTTGTTGCAGAGTTTATCAAGCATTTTAAAAAATTAATTGGATGATGCATGACTGGATTTTTTTATTAATATGTCAAAAGGAAGATACTTTTGGACTAGAAAAACTTTTTAAAAAATGTTTGGACATTAATTCTGGACAGTTCTAAACATTAGTAATCTTGTCCTCTTTCTAGCAATTATCATTTTGTTGCTTCTAATTTTAGACCATCTATCACAGTTTGGGAGTCAGAAGTGCATATGGTGGTAGTTCCTCCTCCTTGCTGCCGGCTGAACTAGAGTCCTTTAGCCAACTGACAATGAACAACTGTACTCCCTGCTCATCCGCTGGAACTCAATATTATTGTTCCCTACCATTCACAAATGCTTTAGTAATGCTGGACAGTGGTTATCTTCTGGATATCAAATCAAATAAAAAGTTGCAAATATCAGTTTCTAAAAGTCTTCCTTTTAATGATTCATAAAAGACAAATGTACAAAAGAGATGTGTATCATATCTATACAAACAGAAAGAAAAATCAGTTATTCTCCAAAGCTTTTTAGAAAAAGTCTTTGTATCAATTATTTTTTAACATTACTATAGGTGTACTTGTGATGTGTGTGATCCTACTCTTTTTAACTTCAGTAGAAAATCTTTGAGGTTTGTTGGCTTTTTTAAAAGATGAAAATATGGAAAAGGTAAAATAGGTGTTACAATATTTGCCTGCATATGAAAAAAATTTACTTTTATGTTTTAATGTGCAAGGTCCTTAAAACAGAAGTAAAAAATATTTACATACAATTTGTTTGGTCCTATAAAACGTAGCGCTGGGAAAGTACGTCTAAAATTCATTTACAAGGCAAGATGGCTAGTCTCTCTAGGGAGATTCCACTAGTGTATAAATTCAGTATTAAGTGTTATTTCACACCCAGCATATAAGGCTATGTTTTCTGAATGTGCAAGTTTAAGATATTTTCAGAAAATATGCACAGTCCTCAACAGATAAGAATGTCAAATTATTTTATGTATATGGGTATATTATACTCACATAAAATCAGAAATAGTAAAATACTTTAGAACTTCAACAGCACCAGTACATTATTACATAACGTGGTATTTTAAGAGTCAGCTGTACTCAAAATACTATTTGTATAAAAAAAAAAGTTAAGAAAAGTAACTGTGGCAAACTGCTGTTTTCATGCAAATGCATAACAAACACACAAAAGGTTTTCAAAGTCCCATTTTTTCAAAGTAAATATACATTATGCAAAATATAGGCTGGATGATTGCTATTGACACAGTTCTCCTCCAAAAAGTTTCCTGAAAAGTTACCTTATGGATCTCTGCCATGGAGTTTATTTTTATCATTACTATAATTCTTAAATGACCACAGTACTTGCAATCTCTATATGCCCCTTGGTCTATAGATTATTTTAACATTTTAGATTTCCTGCCAAATCATCAAGAATGTCAGCGTTGCTAGACACAGGTGCAAGATGTACTCTCTCTCAGCAACTCAACCAGTTCTTACTGATCAGTCATTCAATGAAGAAGATATGTGGCTCAAATAGCATTAACAACAATAGCTGGGTTAAAAGTTGTGAAGAAGAATCCTCAAGACTGATTTAACACTTTAAAAGCTACTAGAAAAGAAAGTTAGATTAGCTCTCAAAACAAAAGTCAAACAAAAAAATTACAGCTAAAAATCTCAGCCTATTAAAGCTAAAGTGAACATGCAGTCCCATTTTGTATTAACACCTCCTTTGGAAAAAATATTATATTGACTGGTCTTTTGTTTAGAATATATTTTAGTCATGGAATACTGTAACGAATAAGTGGCAAATAAACCACAAAGTGTTTTATTAATGATGTAAGTAACAGTGATGAAGTTCAAAGTTGTTGCAAACTAGCCGACTGTATCAGCATGAATAACTTGTAGTTGAAGACTGCAACTACCTCCAATCTGGTTATTGGCATGAACCCAAGTTAAAAAAAAAAAAAAAAAAAAGTACAGTAACACTGCATTTATTTAGCACCTCTTTTACGAAACTCCAAAAGTGCTTTACAAACATTAATGGATAAAGCCTCACAATGCTCCCGTGAGGTAGATTAAATATCATTCCAATTTTATAGTTTTATAAATGAAGGCATAAGGAGGTGAAATTACTTGGATCAATATCTTATGGAAGCATGTGGAATGGCTAGGATTCTTAGTCCCTAGTCTTAACCACAAGACTCTTTTTTTTTTTCCTCCCTAGGTGGGAGTGTGGGAGAGGGTGGGAATCTTCCTTAGACCAAGAATTGGATCATAGGCCATGTGTAGACAAAACGAGGGACATGTCACTTTCAAGCGGGCACCGCTTTAATGGTGTTGGTTTTTGCATGCCTCAGCGGCGTATTGATTCCAGCTGCTGTAGGAAATACAGCTGTGTAATGAGCCTTAAATGAGTTGGGGTGCAGCAAACTAAAACTCCTTGAAGGAGTTCTAGTTTGCTGCCCCTACAGCTGTGAAGTGAAGCACCAGGCTCCATGCAGCCCTGCAGGAAGCCCATGCAGGCAGCCTGACAGCAGCCCAGGAAAGCAGGCTCTACCCAAGAAGTGATGAGCTCGATTTCCACCCCCAACTCCGGAGCCTGCCTACCTGCTTGCCTAAGCTGCGCGGGGGCCCAGTGCTTCCTTCTGCGGCTACAGTGCCCCCCCGGAACGGCCTAAGCTGGGTGCCACCTGGTGGGGGGCTGCCGCTGCTTTAGAGAGAAACACCAGCCCCCTCCACAGCGTGGGTACTGCTCCACCCACCAGCAGTTCGCCCTCCCCTCTCCGCCAGAGAGGCAGGTAAGTCAGCGGGGTGTATGCATGACATGGGGGTTTTAATCAGCTCTAATTTGAAGCAGTGTTTTTTTAAAACCCACCGCTTCAATTTAGGGCCTGCATTTCACACACACACACACACACACACACACACACACACACTCTGAACGGGGGAAAAACAACAAAACAAAAAGAAATTTACTGTGAACACAATTCCCAGCTACTAGGTCGTGAGCAGCCTTCTTAGTCCCCCGTTTCCCACTGGCATAAACATGCTGTTTTATGCAAGAAAAGGGAAAAAAAACACACATTCAAGCATAGATCAAAAAAAAGATCGCAACTAATTTATAACTTAGTCTAGTTTCTGTGGAAAGGGATCCAATTCATAGGTTTTTAATTTTAAAATGTGTGCTTAATACAGTTTGCTCATAGTTCACAATTTGCTGTAAGATAGTTCAAAAGCTGCAGCAAAAATTGCTGAAACAGATCCACAGCCAGCAAAGATAGGGCCTAACTTGGGTCTATTTGTTGGAATACTCTAGAAATGACAATTCCCTGCCCCAAAATTTGAAACCCAGTTTTATATTGCTAAATCCTCATGAGATCTGTGCTAATCATCTCTCCATCTGGGTTTAAGAAAATAAAGTGGAGCAACTGTCACAGGAGAGTTCTGTGTTCAAAAAAGGAATGGTTTGTAGTGTTCAGGAAACAGACCTGATATTGTGGGATGAGGAAAAGAGAAGCCATATGCTACCTCACTGATAACTCTGCTTCCTATTGAGATGTCCACCTCAAAAAAAAAAAATCTCAAAAGGAGGATGGTGGGAAGAAAGAATAAAGAACTGAATAGAGTCCCCACTTTTTCACATCTGAGAGGAGAAAAAAATAGAAAAAGAAAAATCTTCCCCTTGCACCATTCCTCTCATCTCAGGAAGTTCCTCTCCCATCAATGCACTGCTGTGCATGTGATTTTTCAGCTGAAAAGGTTTTGATGTTTATATAAATCTCACTATTTTTGCTGATCTTTCTTCTAATTCTTGAACTGCTGCTGTTGACCAGACAGTCATAGGGGGCTCTGTTAAAGATTGTTGTGGTGTCAGACTGCAGTTAAAAACATCATCTATTGAACCTGAAAAATATTTAAAAGAGCAGAATTACAACAGGCTTGCAAGGAACTGAACACAACAGTAATGTACATTACCAAACCAAGAGCAAGAAGTAGCTAAGTTAAAAGACTAAAGAGCAATGAATTTGAGTACTCAGGTAACTCAAGTATGAGAAAGAAGATACTAGATTTTTTGTATTTCATGATGTTAACAAATTGACAAACTGTCTTTTAAAAAGGGAAATCCATTTAGCTTCTAAAAGGTAATTGGTGATGTGGCATAGTTATTAAAGTAACTATGTGTTAATTACTTTACAGCCAAATAAATCCTAACATGATTATCTCTGCGTCTAAAGAACTTCCAGTCTCATTTTGGTTGCAATGCAAAACACAAATTTAATAATAAAAAAGGCAGAGAATAAAAAAGAACAAGTGTGAGAGTAAATTTTATGCAGAATTTGAGTTTCTTAAAGCCAAAGTATTGTATACTGTAACAAAATCATCCTCTGCAAAAATCGCAAATTTTTGTTTAAAATTAAAAATTAAAATTTGTGTTAATTTTAATTCGTTTGACATTGACTGCATAGCTTAGGTTTTAACTGAAGGTACTGAATGATTTAAAAGCTATCAGAACTTTTCTTTAAAAGAAAAGAATTTCAGAAATCCCAATTTTCTGAAAGTTGTATAATCATAACTTTAGGAAATCAGAGTTCAGATAACAAGGTTTACTTCTACTGTACAAAACTAAGTGCTGTGTTGTTTTGTAACATACCTCTTGAGGTAACACTAAATTTTCTGTCTGAAAAGCTGTTGCTCAAGCGGGCATGTGGCTCACTCATTTTTTCAAGAAACATTGTGATTATTTCCTTCTTTTCTGGGTTGGTGCTGGACAAATTCAGAATTTTCCCATTCACTGCAACAGTGCTTTTGCTGATTCCAAACCAATAAAAGAAATCAAACAGGGCATCCGATTTGAACTCAAAGGAAAAGCTCAAGGCATCTCCATTAACTAAGTGGCTTCCTGGAGGAAAAAAGCTCTTGACAACCTCCTGGAAATCAAACTTTAAAAGAAAAAAAAATATATAGTTAAATGTCTAATTCATAAACTCTGCCCTCATAAATTTAGAGTTTATACTGTAGTTGTACCTTTATTTGAAAGCTTTACCTACAGCAGGATCTGAATCTGAAACTGCACAGAGAGATTCCATGTATAATTCCACTTCCCCAATACCATGCATCTTGCTTATATTCGAAACCTTGTGGCAGAAGAGAGCTCATCTCAAAGCAGCAGAAGCTGGAGCAATGCACCTGTCTAGTGAGGCTTTCAAGGAAAATCTAGGGCTGCATCCAGACAGTCGTGTGGTATGTGGCACCACAGACCCATCTGTGGCAGGGTAACTGGGGTAACCCTGCTGCATGCCAAAGGGCACGTGGCATGGGTGTTTCCCAGGGACAAGAAGCAGTGGCACAATGTGTACCACAGCTTCTTCTCTTCAGGGAAACAAACAAATGTGCTCATGTGGACGCAGTCAAAGTGGACACAGGAGTTCTGTCTTAACAGCAAGAAGAAAAGCTACTGTAGGTTGAATTTCTATGATTACAGGGTATATTATTTTATTATCATTATCCTCTTCCTTCTGGGAACTGCAGAATCTGAAGTATGGAATTAAGTTTAAGGATTGGTTCTTGTTCGTGCAACAGATATGCTCCCACTTATGAAGACTGCAGACTCATTTAACTTAGATTAAATCCTCATTTAAAGCCCCTTTTTCTTAGGCTGGCTAATATTTAAAGTTAAAGAAGACAACAAGCTACCAAATGTTTATCATTTTTCCTTTTATGCAAAACATTACAAAATGATATTGTAATGATTCACTCTGTTTTATAGATTTGCTTCATTCTCAGTACTCGTTTGTTCCCCTTTTGAGTATTCTCACAGAATGAAATATATGTTTTATGACATCTGTTCAGAGGAATGCTTTATATTTAAGCTTGAGTAAACTTAAATGGATTACACTTGAATGAAGGCAGAATTTTGCTCTTTACTTACTAAATTTTGGTATAGGACTGAAGTGCAGTCTTGGAAGCTAAACAGCATCGGTTCACTGCTAAGGAGGTGCTTTAAACTTTGAATTAATATCATTTTCTTAAATTTATGTTGTGTTGTTTATATCTGAAGTGAATAAACTATATCCAACTGTGAATCAAAGCTATTTGTTCTTGGTTACTTTACCTGAAAAAATCTCTGGCGATAACAAACATGGCTCACTTGCAAATCTTAGAACGCACTTCTTTTTGTAGCTCACATAAAATAAAGATGGAATGCTTTTATTCAGAACTGATAGCCTTGAATATCTTATAACAAAGCATTCATGACTTACCCGAAGTTTATAACTTTCTCCAAACACTGAGGATATTACGTTGTCCATACCATGCTCTATCTGTCTTCTTATCTTGGGATGTCGAGTGTTCACAAGAAAGGCATATGTTTTTTCTGAAAGCGAGTTAAAATGCTACTAATTTCTATACATGACCTAAGCAATATTCAGCAACATACACTGAAACCTTTATACCATGAGTTGTATTTTCATAAGAAGCCAGCTGTAGTTCTAATAATCCATGTTCAAGAATTCCCATATAGCTCTTAATATATAAAAACAAGACAGATGGCATGATAACATCTCCTTCTAGTAGCAAGCCTTAGTAACCTGAAAAACCTAAAGAGCTACATGGACCTAACAAAGAATTTTTTTAGCTCTTTGTGGAAGTCTGTCATTTGGGTGCCAATATTTGTATATTTGATCTCTCTTAAAACAGAAAAATATATGTATGAAAGCAGTACTGGTTTTGTACTACTCAGTGGGTGTGTCTACACAAGATGCCATAGCACAGTAGCAATGAGCTACTACGTCATGGCTCATTGCTACCATGCAGCTGCACTGCTGGGCACTAACTGTGTGGCGACGATACTGCACAGTAGCAGTGAGCTACTTAGGCAGTAGTTCGTTGCTACTGAACAGCAGCATCAGGGGAAAAAAAAAAAAAAAAAAAAAAAAACACACAAAACTGTGTGGCAACAGTACTGCAGTCATGTCGGTTACTGCACAGTCATTTAGTACTTGCACAAGCAAGAACTAAAATGACTATTCAGTAACAATTGTGCAGTCTGCCGCTCATGTAAATGTGGCCAGTGAACTGCTCCTATATAACAGATTATCCAAGTATTAAAACTGAAACTGTTGGCACTTCAGTCCTATTGGATATTCTGTAGATTTTCTGGGGAAGGATGGCTTATAGAGCAATGGATCTCCAGCTATATACAGCTATCCATGACTTCCTACTAGAAGTAGAGCTGGGGTGAAAGAGACAGCATCTTCTCATGTCACACTATAAAATCTCTGTTGAGTTTCTCCTTAGCAACCTTGGGTTTACAGGTTTCCCTTGATTTATGCTGTACATGCATTCCCGGAGAATAGCGCAAAAATCAAATTTGCATAACGCGAACCCGCTTACATTGTTACAAATGTGGATAGGTTCCCATGGTGGTGAGGGAGGGAATGAAGCTGGATGGGGGGGGGGGGGGGGGGGGGGGCGGTGTGTGCTGCTGCTCCAAGGGCTGCATGAGGAAGCAAAGCAGAGGGAAGAGAATGGCACTCACCCCAGCCCTGGCTGCAGTGGCCCCAGGAGCTGCTGGCAACAGCAGCCTGCTGGGCTGCACCGTGCTCTGCCTGTCCCCAACTCACCTCTACTCCTGGGCTGCACTATGCCCAGTGTAGGCAGCTGGTGTCAGCTGCTCCCAGGGCTGCTGCAGCCGGGGCTGGGGTGAGCACTGCGTCCCACGGCACAGTGCAGCCCAGGAGCGGTGGGACAGGCAGAGCATGGTGCAGCCCAGCTAGCTCCGGCCACTCCTGGGGCTGGGGTGAGTGGGGCCATGGCCCTTTCCCCTCCCCACACAGACTTACCTGCTTGGGCGCCAGGGGGCAGCGGGCATTTATGCTGATGGCATAAGAGCAAACCTACCTCACATATAATGAATTATGGGTCTAAATATGTTCTCTGAATAAGAGCAAATTCACATATAAAGAACCTGCATAAATCAAGGGTAATCTGTATATTTTTTACTCCTCTCTGGCCTTCATCTAGGCTTTTCCCTAATCCCATTTCAACTTCTCCACTTTTGAAGTCCTATTAACTGGGTGCGTCTCCACAAGACACTTTACTGCGCAGTAGACTAATCTACTACGCAGTAAAGTGTCACTATGTAACCGTGCACAGGAGCTACCGTGCAGTAGATCAGTTTACTACATAGTTTTCTACTACCTGTAAATATGGATAGTAGATTTACTGTGCAGAAGTGCATGGTTACATAACACAGGCAGCAGCAAGTAGAATTTTTCCCTCCCCAGGGTAGCTGCCTACTTCCCAGCTGTCCCCTGCCCCAGGCAACTGCCTGCTGCTGGGGCTGGCTCCAATCATGGGCCAATCTCGGAGTTGGGGCCAGGAGCTGCCTGCTGCAGGAGCAAAGGGACATTGTCCCCATCTGGGCTTAGCAATCAGAGCTGGCTCCGGCAGCAGGCAGCTGCCCAGGGCAGGGGTATGGAGTGGGAGGCAGCTGCCCCAGAGGTAAGACGGCTCTCCTTGTCCCCCAGAGCCCAGGCCTGACCCTGATACCCTGTCAACCCGGGGCTGACACCCTGGGGAGCCTAGAGCTACCCCTGGCTGCCACATGGTAGGAGAGCAGAGCAGGAGTATCCCTGCCCTGAACTGTTCCTGTTAGGAGCAAATTTGATCCCAACAGGTGCACGTGTAGAAGTGCTCTCAGGGAAAGCTTACTGCACAGTATTTTACTGTGCAGTAAGCTTTCTGTGCATTAATTGCATGTGTAGACAAGCCCACTGCTTGGCTTTTTGTACTGCAGCATCCTCAGATTCATCTGCAGAGTTCCCTGACAACAGAGTTTTAAATTGTACAATACAGAATAATGAAACCAATTAAGTGCTTTGTCCATCATTTTAGAAGACTGGCGGGAGAGGGCCTCAGAAGCTGAATTAAGGACACAGGCACTGCCCCAGGTTATTTCACTGAGGTAACTGAAAGTTTGGCAGAATCTGAAAACTGGAACAGAAAAAAAATAAATAAATAAATAAATAAATAAAAAAATCAATCAATCAATCAATCAATTTGCTGAGGATTATGAGGTTTCAACAGGGTGAAACTGCAATAGTGTTGACAATAAAATTTACTGTGTGTATAGATACTCCATGGATGCAGCTTCCTAGGAATTACCATGGAGGCACTGCTCTTCTGCATGCTAATATGCATAATAGAGACTTCCTCAATTGCAGACACTGCAAACCCAGGGAATGCTAGTTTTGTAAGATGACATCCCTATACACCTTCATTATACTTTTCATTGTACAGCTAATTGACCGTATACATCATATAAGCTTTATATCTGCACAGTTTACAAGCTAGTATAATAACTCATGGAAAATATACTAAACATTTGCAGTACCTGATTTTCAAATCAAATTAAATAAAAATCAATTGTCACCCAAGCACTGAAAGCCACTGCTCCCCATTGAGGATTTTTTCACACCAAATTTCAACTTCCAGTGAGTTGGAAATCAATCGAAAGGAAATCACAACTGTATTTTTCATGCATCTTCAGCTCAAAGTGCTGAACCACTTTTGTTTCAGTTTAAAAAGGGAGAAAAAGAAACATACTAAACAGGAAAAAAAAAGTATGCAAGATAAGGGCGTTCACCCTTGGGCCACATCTGGCCTGTGAAACTGTATTATCCAGCCCACATAGCTCCCTACAGGTCTGAAAAATCTGGTGGTGTGGGAACAGTGGCAGCATTAATTGCCACTCCCCACCCGTAAAGTTTCCAGACCTATGGAGAGCCCTGCAGGCAGAGCATGGCCCTGCATGCTACCTTGGGCATGTGGGGCCAGGGCAGCACAGAGCTCTATCTATGTGTACAGAACCAGGGTGGCATAGAGACCTCCCCAGGCAGCATAGGGCCAAACCCATGTGGAATCCAGCCATGGACCAGCCCCATGCTGCTTATTTAGCTTGTGAAGCTGGAAGGTTGAAAACTGCTGGTGTAAAACACTGAGCTTAAAGGTGAAGTTTAGGAAAAGTATAAGGAACTGAAAACAGAGCAAAGTAATCAGTGGGTCCCAAATGATTAACCCAATGCACCAGATTACATAAGGATCTATCTAGCCCTTGTTTTTATTTGAGGAAATGTAATGTAAATAACAAAAAGAACAACATACTTACCATTTGGGGAATCCGGTTTTATTTTCACATTTGTGAAGAATACCAGTGGCCTGCTTAGTATAGTATCTCTGTAGTCTTTATAATCACGATGGCTTGTGAGCACTACATCCCTATTAAAAAAAATTACAACTCTATTAATAGCTATTATGTTGAATAGTGCATATTTACCAAATACAGTTTTACAAAAAAAATACCCAGGATCTCTAGAGTTCAAGTTTTCCCTCGTATAAAACCATGAAGATATCATGGGGTTTGAACAGGATTCCAACTCTTTCATTAACCCTCTAGAGTCTAGGCCAAGATTTTTACATTTTGGCAACTACCGTCAGGCAACCAAAAGGCACCTGCTGAGGACCTCTGAATAAAACCAGCTACTTTAATTTAGACACTCAAGTTTATCTACCAGAATTCGAAAATGTTGTCAATACTTTAGACGTACAGTGTTATGTTGAAATTTACAGTGTTGCTAGTTATCATGCTTTTACTGTGAAGACCACTGAATTAGATATGTTTCTTAATGCCTTTGCTTCTAAAGTCACACGATGCAGGAGTCTCTATCTAAAAGAGACACCCCCTTGGAAGCCAACAAAGTGTCCTTTTAACAAAAGCGCTCTAAGATATAGTTGAGCACTAGACACAATTACTAATCAGTCCTCAAAAAATGTTGTTTTAAAGTAACATTTTGGCAGAGAACCCCACATTTAATATTTTAAACTAAGTTTTAAACCAAACTCTTGATTTTCTGGGAATTCATTCAGTGCTTTTCACAAATTGGGATTCTATAGTTTTGGAAAATCCACTTCACCCAACCTTCTATAAAATTATGACCCGTCAGTTAGTTTTATTAAGATACAGGCACAAACTAGAGAACAGATCCTATTGCATCTATTGGGCACCTCAAGGTCTAATCCTATTTCACTCCACTTATAGCCCTAAAAAAGCTAATTTGCCTATTTTTGTAATCTGCCATCTCTAAGCCAGGAGTGGCCAGCCTGTAGCACATGTGCCACAAGTTAAACAGGCAGCACAGTGACAGATAGAGCAGGGAGCAGAAAACAGCACAGCAGATTGGGCAGGAGTTGCAATGACACTCGGGAAAGGTGTGGGGCTAATTTGCGGCACTCCTGCCAAAAAGTTGGGCCCCCCAAAGATCTAAGCCTTCAGACTAACTCACAAAAAGGAGACCAAAAGGACCCATCCATGATCTGCATTAAAGGCGATTTCCATTCCATCACCAGTTACATGCCTCAATGGCACTTACTTAGCTGCATCGGTGGCATTTCTGGAACTTGGGCTAAACTTGCAATTCTATATTCATGCAGTGCAGATGCATAGGCATCTGTGTAGCTACTGCACATACTCAGTAGGCTTTGTACTTGCTGGGCAGGTGTACATGAACACTGATGTGTAAGGAGGAGAACCTTCTCATGTTTTATCCCTAGTAGCTAAGTAGTTAGGCCACTTGCTCAGGAAGCAGAAGACCCAGGTTTTAGGGCCACCCCCTCCACCCCACATCTCTCCAGCTTCCCAGCAGAGTGCTCCAACCACCACATCACACTTTAAGCATTATCTAGCATTCATGCCTCTCTGAACCAGTTGGTCTCCACAGTAGGGCAGGGTGACACCTTCTGCATGTTAGTCACAGACTTTTGTCCCACAGCAGGATTTGAATCTGAAACTACACAGAGAAATCCCACATATTTGTCCCACTACAATTTCAGGACTTATGTGCATACACAGGACCTACATAAGTAGTCATGTTCCTGTCCAGCCACTGCTAAGCATATGCAGTTATCTTTATGGGATTTACATGTTGACACTGCACAGGTAATAGAGGGCAACAGAATTACAAACTGTGTGTAAATGCCAAAAAGACCACTTAAAGAGATGGCAAACAAAAGGCTGCACTTCTAGAGTAAGTCATGCCTCAAAATACAGATAAAATAAATATTTCATGGGCATCAAAAGCTGACCTATATGGAAAGTGAAATTGTTAACATCCAATTTAAAATTAATTCATTTTAAATTTTTTAAAAATTGCAATTAGGAGTGTTAGTTATTCTGAGGGCAGCCTTTGTGTGCACAAATTTCAGAAACTACATGCACCTTTGATTCATAGATGTTAGGGTTGGAAGGGACCTCAATAGAGCATCGAGTCCGACCCCCTGCATAGGCAGGAAAGACCTCCCTTGGGAGCCCATTCCAGACCTTGGCCACTCCAACTGTGAAGAAGTTCTTCCTAATGTCCAATCTAAATCTGCTCTCTGCTAGCTTATGGCCATTATTTCTTGTAACCCCCAGGGGCGCCTTGGTGAGTAAAGCCTCACCAATTCCCTTCTGTGCCCCCATGATGAACTTACAGGCAGCCACAAGGT